ACCCTCCAGAGGCTGATATTGGCCATAATAACCCTCCAGAGGCTGATATTGGCCTTAATAACCCCTCCAGAGGCTGATATTGGCCTTAATAACCCCTCCAGAGGCAGATATTGGCCTTAATAACCCTCCAGAGGCTGATATTGGCCTTAATAACCCTCCAGAGGCTAATATTGGCCTTAATAACCCTCCAGAGGCTAATATTGGCCTTAATAACCCTCCAGAGGCTGATATAGGCCTTAATAACCCTCCAGAGGCTGATATTGGCCTTAATAACCCTCCAGAGGCTGATATTGGCCTTAATAACCCTCCAGAGGCTGATATTGGCCTTAATAACCCTCCAGAGGATGATATTAGCCTTAATAACACTCCAGAGGATGATATTAGCCTTAATAACCCTCCAGAGGCTGATATTGGCCTTTATACCCCTCCAGAGGCTGATATTGGCCTTAATAACCCTCCAGAGGCTGATATTGGCCTTAATAACCCTCCAGAAGCTGATATTGGCCTTAATAACCCTCCAGAGGCTGATATTGGCCTTAATAACCCTCCAGAGGCTGATATTGGCCTTAATAACCCTCCAGAGGCTGATATTAGCCTTAATAACCCTCCAGAGGCTGATATTGGCCTTAATAACCCTCCAGAGGCTGATATTGGCCTTAATAACCCTCCAGAGGCTGATATTGGCCTTAATAACCCTCCAGAGGCTGATATTAGCCTTAATAACCCTCCAGGAGGCTGATATTAGCCTTAATAACCCTCCAGAGGCTGATATTAGCCTTAATAACCCTCCAGAGGCTGATATTGGCCTTAATAACCCTCCAGAGGCTGATATTGGCCTTAATAACCCTCCAGAGGCTGATATTGGCCTTAATAACCCTCCAGAGGCTGATATTGGCCTTAATAACCCTCCAGAGGCTGATATTGGCCTTAATAACCCCTCCAGAGGCTGATATTAGCCTTAATAACCCTCCAGAGGCTGATATTGGCCTTAATAACCCTCCAGAGGCTGATATTGGCCTTAATAACCCTCCAGAGGCTGATATTGGCCTTAATAACCCTCCAGAGGCTCCAGAGGCAGATATTGGCCTTAATAACCCTCCAGAGGCTGATATTGGCCTTAATAACCCTCCAGAGGCTGATATTGGCCTTAATAACCCTCCAGAGGCTGATATTGCCTTAATACCCCTCCAGAGGCAGATATTGGCCTTAATAACCCTCCAGAGGCTGATATTGGCCTTAATAACCCTCCAGAGGCTGATATTGGCCTTAATAACCCTCCAGAGGCTGATATTGGAGGCTGATATTGGCCTTAATAACCCTCCAGAGGCTGATATCCAGAGGCTGATATTGGCCTTAATAACCCTCCAGAGGCTGATATTAGCCTTAATAACCCTCCAGGAGGCTGATATTAGCCTTAATAACCCTCCTGGGGTTATTATTTTATCTTTCATCTCGTGAAAGTAAAGATTCAACAATTTTACACTCCATCATTTGCTAAGGTTCCCTCCATTACCTGTCTGAAGTTGTCTAATATTACGTGAGAAGTTACTACAACTTTAGTTATAATTCTAGACGGGGAGATTGTTGTGGAGTGATTGTGATTGCTTTCTCCTAACACTCACCCGTCTCCTCTCACACCCTCACCCGTCTCCTCACACCCTCACCCGTCTCCTCACACCCTCACCCGTCTCCTCACACCCTCACCCGTCTCCTCACACACTCACACTCACCCGTCTCCTCACACCCTCACCCGTCTCCTCACACCCTCACCCGTCTCCTCACACACTCACCCGTCTCCTCACACCCTCACCCGTCTCCTCACACCCTCACCCGTCTCCTCACACCCTCACCCGTCTCCTCACACCCTCACCCGTCTCCTCACACCCTCACCCATCTCCTCACACCCTCACCCGTCTCCTCACACCCTCACCCGTCTCCTCACACCCTCACCCGTCTCCTCACACCCTCACCCGTCTCCTCACACCCTCACCCATCTCCTCACACACTCACACTCACCCGTCTCCTCACACACTCACCCTCACACACTCACCCTCACACACTCACCCTCACACACTCACACTCACCCGTGCCGTCAAGGAGCAGCAAGAGAAGAAATATAATTGAACATAACTTCGACAAGGAAGAAAAATTGGACAAAGGAAAAAATCCTTTTTTCTATAAAGGTGACCAAGTCCGCCGGCCGCTTCTTGGAAGATGCTTTTATTTCTGCTCTTTGTGGTGAACAGCTGAACAGTTTTTTGTTCAGCTTTGTTCACGTGGACCCGTGGTGAGTTCCGGCGGGTCCACACCAACCTCCTAAAATGAAAGTACTTGATGCAGTAGAAAATACTAATATGTCGAGGACTCTCAGAAAGTACCATTATGTCGTGATGGACCACCAGAAAGTACCAATATGTCGTGATGGACCGCCAGAAAGTACCAAAATGTCGTGATGGACCACCAGAAAGGACCAATATGTCGTGATGGACCACCAGAAAGTACCAAAATGTCGTGATGGACCACCAGAAAGCACCAATATGTCGTGATGGACCGCCAGAAAGTACCAAAATGTCGTGATGGACCGCCAGAAAGTACCAAAATGTCGTGATGGACCACCAGAAAGTACCAAAATGTCGTGATGGACCACCAGAAAGGACCAATATGTCGTGATGGACCGCCAGAAAGTACCAAAATGTCGTGATGGACCGCCAGAAAGTACCAAAATGTCGTGATGGACCACCAGAAAGGACCAATATGTCGTGATGGACCACCAGAAAGTACCAATATGTCGTGATGGACCGCCAGAAAGTACCAAAATGTCGTGATGGACCACCAGAAAGTACCAAAATGTCGTGATGGACTACCAGAAAGGACCAATATGTCGTGATGGACCGCCAGAAAGTACCAATATGTCGTGATGGACCGCCAGAAAGTACCAAAATGTCGTGATGGATCACCAGAAAGTACCAAAATGTCGTGATGGACCGCCAGAAAGTACCAAAATGTCGTGATGGATCACCAGAAAGTACCAAAATGTCGTGATGGACCGCCAGAAAGTACCAAAATGTCGTGATGGACCGCCAGAAAGTACCAAAATGTCGTGATGGACCGCCAGAAAGTACCAATATGTCGTGATGGACCACCAGAAAGTACAGATTGTTACTATTGAATTAGGACAAACGGAATTTTGTTTATCTTAACAATAAAACGTGACCTAACCGCCGTAGGCCTAATACTCGCTATCTGAGGTCTAACATAGTACTTATATGTGCTATACTAAGCTTGGGAATATTTTAGTTTGGTTTTTAGATTTAGATTTTAGAGTCGTGTCACTTAAGTAGTGAGACAAACAATGCGCGCGTCACTTTGGTTGTGGTCCAAACAATGCGTTTGTCACTTAGGTTGTGGTCCAAACAATGCGTTTGTCACTTAGGTTGTGGTCCAAACAGTGCGCGCGTCACTTAGGTTGTGGTCCAAACAATGTGCGCGTCACTTAGGTTGTGGTCCAAACAATGTGCGCGTCACTTAGGTTGTGGTCCAAACAATGCGCGCGTCACTTAGGTTGTGGTCCAAACAATGCGCGCGTCACTTAGGTTGTGGTCCAAACAATGCGCGCGTCACTTAGGTTGTGGTCCAAACAGTGCGCGCGTCACTTAGGTTGTGGTCCAAACAATGCGCGCGTCACTTAGGTTGTGGTCCAAACAGTGCGCGCGTCACTTAGGTTGTGGTCCAAACAATGTGCGCGTCACTTAGGTTGTGGTCCAAACAATGCGCGCGTCACTTAGGTTGTGGTCCAAACAGTGCGCGCGTCACTTAGGTTGTGGTCCAAACAATGCGCGCGTCACTTAGGTTGTGGTCCAAACAATGTGCGCGTCACTTAGGTTGTGGTCCAAACAGTGCGCGCGTCACTTAGGTTGTGGTCCAAACAATGCGCGCGTCACTTAGGTTGTGGTCCAAACAGTGCGCGCGTCACTTAGGTTGTGGTCCAAACAGTGCGCGCGTCACTTAGGTTGTGGTCCAAACAGTGCGCGCGTCACTTAGGTTGTGGTCCAAACAATGTGCGCGTCACTTAGGTTGTGGTCCAAACAGTGCGCGCGTCACTTAGGTTGTGGTCCAAACAGTGCGCGCGTCACTTAGGTTGTGGTCCAAACAATGCTCGCGTCACTTAGGTTGTGGTCCAAACAATGCGCGCGTCACTTAGGTTGTGGTCCAAACAATGCGCGCGTCACTTAGGTTGTGGTCCAAACAATGCGCGCGTCACTTAGGTTGTGGTCCAAACAATGCGCGCGTCACTTAGGTTGTGGTCCAAACAATGCGCGCGTCACTTAGGTTGTGGTCCAAACAGTGCGCGCGTCACTTAGGTTGTGGTCCAAACAGTGCGCGCGTCACTTAGGTTGTGGTCCAAACAATGCGCGCGTCACTTAGGTTGTGGTCCAAACAATGCGCGCGTCACTTAGGTTGTGGTCCAAACAATGCGCGCGTCACTTAGGTTGTGGTCCAAACAATGCGCGCGTCACTTCGTCATTCCGCAAATATGAATCTACTTTTTTTCCTATGTTTAATTTGGCACAAGTCCTTTGTTTCCTTGATTGTATTTCTTAAATATTTCTTGTTCACTGCCATACACTGCTGTCACTTACTAGGCGACTTTCATGTTTTGCTTTTTATTAAACTTGTCTCACTTTCATCCCAAGTACGTGTCTATCCCTATCTATCCCCCCCCCCCCCAAGCACTTGGGCTGGACGGTAGAGCGCCCGGTCTCGCTTCATGCAGGTCGGTGTTCAATCCCCCGACCGTCCACAAGTGGCTGGGCACCATTTCTTTCCTCCTCCGTCCCATCCAAAATCGTTATCCTGACCCCTTCCCAGTGCTATATAGTGGCTTAAATGATGCTTTCCCTCTGATAATTCCCTTCCCAAACTAACGATACCCTAGTTGATAGTGTCTCAGGCTAACGATATCCTTCCTCTGAGGCTAACGAGCGGTCTCGGTGTTGCAGGTGCCGCAGGGGAGCACAGATGGCAAGTACCGCCTGCGGCTGGAGGGGAACGAGATCGGCGGCCTCACGGGGTCGGCCTTCGTCAACGAGACCGTGTTGGTGTTCAGCCCCCGCGGCGCCACCGTCCTCGTCCAGACTGATAAACCCATCTACAAGCAGGGAGACACAGGTGAGTGGGGGGAGGGGACACAGGTGAGTGGGGGGGGGACACATGTGAGTGGGGGGGGGGACACAGGTGAGTGGGGGGAGGGGGACACAGGTGAGTGGGGGGAGGGGACACAGGTGAGTGGGGGGAGGGGGACACAGGTGAGTGGGGGGGGACACAGGTGAGTGGGGGGGGGACACAGGTGAATGAGGTGGGGGGGAAGAGGGGGGGGACACAGGTGAATGAGGTGGGGGGAAGAGGGGGGGACACAGGTGAATGAGGTGGGGGGAAGAGGGGGGGGCACAGGTGAGTGGGGGGAGGGGGGAACCAGGTGAGTGGGGGGAGGGGAGGGGGGAAAAATGTGAGTGGGGGGGGGGGGAGAGGGGGACACAGGTGATACCTGCTTGATGGGGTTCTGGGAGTTGTTCTACTCCCCAAGCCCGGCCCGAGGCCAGGCTTGACTTGTGAGAGTTTGGTCCACCAGGCTGTTGCTTGGAGCGGCCCGCAGGCCCACATACCCACCACAGCCCGGTTGGTCCGGCACTTCTCTTAGAAAACAGTCCAGTTTCCTCTTGAAGATGTCCACAGTTGTTCCGGCAATATTTCTTATAGTCGCTGGGAGGACGTTGAACAACCGCGGACCTCTGATGTTTATACAGTGTTCTCTGATTGTGCCTATGGCACCTCTGCTCTTCACTGGTTCTATTCTGCATTTTCTTCCATATCGTTCGCTCCAGTACGTTGTTATTTTACTGTGTAGATTTGGTACTTGGCCCTCCAGTATCTTCCAGGTGTATATTATTTGGTATCTCTCTCGTCTCCTTTCTAGAGAGTATATTTAGAGAGCTTTGAGACGATCCCAATAATTTAGGTATTTTATCTCGTCTATGCATGCCGTATATGTTCTCTGTATTCCCTCTATATCAGCAATCTCCTCCTCTGAAGAGGTGTGGGGGTTTTCTATTTTGCTTTCCCGACTGCAATGCGTACGTCGCCAATGTACATGTGGCAGACGCTTCACGAAGCTGTCGGAATTAGCAGAATAGAAAATACGAGAGCAACCGTACAGGGCCTGGGAGCAAGGTTGAGTTAGAGTCCTTGAGGGTCTCTTCTCAGACTAGCCTCACCTGGTCCTGCTCCACGTTGATCGTTGGAATCTCCTCAATGATTTAACACTTTAAGGGACTCCTAGGGTCCTGTCGACCAGACCACACACTAGAAGCTAAAGGGACGACGACGTTTCGGTCCGTTCTGAACCATTCTCAAGTCGATACATACTTTAGCCACGTTATTGTGACTCATCGCCATCCTAGGGTCCTCATCACATTTATAGTTTAGTGAATACAGGCAACTCGGTGTTGGAGACACCTGGAGCTGAAGGCTTGAGTAAATAGTTGGCAGTATTCAGAAGTGGTTCAACGGAAACACCGCATAAAGCTTAACAGTAGTTTATTTACTAACTTAACCACTAATACAAAGGGTGCTGGATTTACTTTAGATTGGCGTCAGCAAGGCTGTGGTTGCGTCAGGGAGACTCTTGACGTCTGGGTAATCGATTCGGATCCACTCATGGAGTATCACCTAACTTAACACAGTTGACAGCCAATCATTAACACGGCAACCTAACTGTCGGTATGCAAAGGGATCACAAGAGTTCCAACCGGATACTCTGTAATGATGATATGCAATAAACACAATGGCACTGTCAATGGGACAGGCAATAACATGCACAACAATTATATCACACAATAACTAAATGAGTGGTGTATGTGAAGCTCACATTCACAAACAAGTGTAATGTTGTGATACCACACAGATACACACACACACTGTCGGGTGTCTAGGTCTCCACCTATACCTGTGTCAGGTATAAGAAGGTGAGAACTGTGGTTGATCCCTCAGATCAACACAGACAGACACATTAAAACAAAGACAAGATCTTGTACTTACAGGTAGGCTACCTCTCTTATTCACTCACTCACTCACTCAGGCACATTTATGCAAGAACTCGTAGGTGACCTGACACCTGGTTTCGGCGACAGGTTTTCCCACAAACCGTACTTGACACGGAAGGTACTCGCAGGAGGGCGCGCTGTATGTCAACACACACGCGCGCGCACACTTGGCACTGGCGGTGAGTAAGGTGGTGACGTCACGTAGTACCATGAGGGAGGCAGCTGGCGACACGCTGGGGACAGAGTGCCGGCTGCAGGTTATATAGTACCATGCGGTACACTGTGGTAAAGTCACACACAGGTTACTTAGGCAGCAGCACTCCTTAGTTCACTCTAGGTCACTCACAACGATCTCCACTTGTCACTAGGGGTTACCTGATACCAGTCTGTTTCGCTCTGGTGATTTGTCACTAGGCTTCTAAACAATATAGTCACGATCGCGATTCCGGGCGAACGTTGGTATATCGAAAAGACACCGAGTTTAACTTGACGGTGAGGAATGGACGGTGTTCTTCTGTCTATTGGCCGATAGACAGAACAGGACACGTCCTCTGTGTACGGGCTCCCTCACGTGAATGCTCTTGCCAGCAGCTATGGGGCATCTCGTGGGACACACACAAGGGATTACAATTTGACCAATGGCATTGCAGCAAAAGAGCGGGAACCAATCATATTGATCGTCCCTTGATCAGTAGCAGAGGTGACGTCATGAACATGTCGCGACTACGTCATAGTTGTTATTCTCCATCGCTCTGGTCGAGGCTGACCCCAGAGGTCAGTCTGTCCCCTCGCTGGCATCCCCTCTCCCTCTCTCACCTATGTACTCACTGTCCCTTGTGACAAGTATGCTTAACTTCCCTGTATCTACTTCCTGCCTGGACATACGGCGGCCTCCGTATTATAAACGTATTCCTGGTTAAGTGGGCATCTTGGGGATACCCAACATGACAGATTACTATCCAGGGTTAACAGAGATAGGGCTTGTGCACGAAATCGGTGCATTGTGCACTGCACTGAGCCATTCAAGTCAGCTGTGAGAGAATCTTGAGAAACCATTCTCTCACAAGGGGAAGTGAGTACCGAGCAGTACTCAAGATGGGACAACACAAGTAACTTGAAGAGTACAACCATTGTGATGGGATCCCTGGATTTGAAAGTTCTCGTAATCCATCCTATCATTTTTCTGGCTGACAATATTTGCTTGGTTATGCTCCCTAAACGTTAGATCGTTGGACATCATTATTCCCAAATCCTTGACATGCTGTTTTCCTACTATGGGCAGATTCGATTGTGTTTTGTACCCTGTATTATGTTTAAGGTCCTCATTTTTGCCGTACCTGAGTATCTGAAATTTATCACTATTAAACAACATGTTATTTTCTGCTGCCCAATCGAAAACTTTGTTGATATCTGCTTGTAATTTTTCAATGTCTTCAGCAGAGGTAATTTTCATGATGATTTTTGTGTCATCTGCAAAAGATGACACGAAGCTGTGACGTGTATTTTTATCTATATCTGATATGAGAATAAGGAACAGTAGCGGTGCAAGGACTGTACCTTGAGGTACAAAGCTTTTAACTGCGCTTGGACTCGATTTTATTTGATTGACTGTTACTTTGTGTTCTGTTCGACAGGAAATTGAGTATCCAGCATCCTACTTTACCAGTTATTCCCATTGACCTCATTTTGTGTGCTATCACCCCATGGTCACATTTGTCGAACGCCTTTGCAAAGTCTGTGTACACAACATCTGCATTTTGCTTTTCTTCTAGAGCTTCTGTGATTTTGTCATAGGATTTGAGTAACTGTGACAGACAGGATCTGACCGCTCTAAATCCATGTTGTCCTGGATTGTGTAGCTCATTATTTTCCATAAAACTAGAAATTTGATTCCTAATCACTCTTTCAAATACTTATTATGTGTGATGTTAGTGCAACTGGTCTATAATTTTTTGCCAAGGCTTTACTACCCCACTTGTGCAGAGGAGCTATATCTGCAGATTTAATTGCAGCTGGTATCTCCCCTGTATCCAGGCTCTTTCTCCATATTACGATTAGGGCTCGCGCTACTGGTACTTTACGTTTCTTTATGAATATCGAATTCCATGAGTCAGGCCCAGGAGCTGAGTGCATGGGCATATCGTCAATTTATCTTTCAAAGTCTTCCAAGTTCGTGTTAATATCCGTTATATTATCTGCAGCTTGAATGTCATTCATAAAGAAGCTGTCTGGGTCATCAACTTTCATGTTGTTTATTAGTGTGCTAAACTTAGCCTCATACTGGCTTCTTAGAATTTCACTAATCTCTTTGTTGTCCTCTGTGTACGTACCTTCATTTGTAATTAACGGTTCAATATTGGTCGAGGTTTTTTATTTTGATTTTGCAAATGTGAAAAAATATTTTGGATTTTTCTTTATCTCTTGTAGCTTTCTGTTCCAATTCCATTTCCTCAGACTCATATGATCGCTTCAACGTTTGTTCTATTTCTTCGATCTCCCTGCTTAGGCTTGTTTTCCTTGCTTGTGATAGTTGTGTCTACCGAGGCATTTCCGTTATTTTTTCCTTCTCCTGTACAGTCGTCTGCGTTCTCTTTCTAGAGTGGTCCTCTTTCTGCCCCTCCTCACAGGCACGTGCTTCAAGCAGACCTTGTAAGCTTCAGCTGTCAGTTGAGCTATTCCCTGTGTGGGAGTTTTGTCGCTTAAGACCGTCTCCCATTGAATGGTTGCAAGGTCTACATTTATTTTTTCCCAGTCGATCCTCTTATTGTTGAAATTGAATTGATTGAATACTCCTTCTCGCTTGTTGGGTCTCTTAGACCTACTACTGTTATTTATGCTAGTTCGCACTTCAATGAGCTTATGGTCTGAGTATGACGTATCTGAGATTGTAATGTCTGTGATTAGTTTATCATTGTTTGTGAATAACAAGTCTAGTGTGTTTTCGTTCCTAGTTGGTTCTGTAATCTGTTGACTGCGCGAGAATTTGTCACAGAATCTCAAAAGTTCTCTGACCTGTGGTTGGTTATTTCTCGGGTCATTCCCTGCTATGATATCTGTGTTTACCATTCT